ATTTTATTGGTAGCCAATGCAATGAGGCAAGAACAGGCGAGATATGATCCCTTTTCTTAGTTCCTGTTAACAATCTGGCTGCTGAGTTTTGAACCATCTGTAACCTAGACAGTGTAGTCTGAGGTAGGCCAACGTACAGAGAATTACAATAGTCCAATCGAGACGAAATTAGTGCATGAATCACAATTTCAAGGTCTTTACTAGAGAGAAAGTTTTTCACTTTTGCTATTGAACGGAGTTGAAAGTAGCTACTCTTTACAACTGCATTTACATGTTTATCGAATTGGAGAAGGGGATCAAAACAGACTCCAAGGTTTTTTGCATTATTGTGCAGGTTGTTACTTAAAGGGCCAAGCTGTGTTTTTATGGAGTTGTTGTTAGCAGCAGGACCCAGTAGAAGCACTTCAGTTTTATTTTCATTCAGTTGCAGTGAGTTTTTTGTCATCCAGGTCTTGACTTCCTTGAGGCACGCGAACAGGTTATCTAATGAAAAGTCATCGTCTGGTTTGATTGGGAGATATAGTTGGAGGTCATCAGCATAACAGTGATAATTTATGTTATATTTCTTGAATATTGCGCCTAAAGGTAGCAGGTAGAGAGAGAACAAAAGAGGGCCAAGAATGGATCCCTGTGGAACGCCACAATGGATCGGCACAGATGGAGAAGTGAATGACCCGATATTTACAGACAAGGTCCTTCCTTTTAAGTATGAGACGAACCACTGCAGAGCAAGGCCCCCGACTCCAACAACATCCTGCAGTCGTCTTAGAAGAATATCATGGTCAATGTCAAATGCGGCACTCAAATCTAAAAGTACCAGGACAACAGAACACCCAGAATCAGTGGACAATAGAATGTCATTTGTGACCTTTAGCAATGCCGACTCAGTGCTATGCAGCACTCTAAAGCCCTATCAATCTCTCGCAGGATCCTCTCTTCGGCCACCAAACAAAGGAAAGTCTGCACCTCCTCGTTTGACCACGGCGTATTCTTCCGAGTTGCCATAATAATAGTAGTCAGTGATGCAGTGGTGTCTTGAGAAGTGGGTAATACTCTTACTTTATGCCCCCAATTTTTTTTAAGCGTCCCAGACTCCCAGCAAAGGATGAATGCTCTGTGTTATAAACAGTGACAGTGATGAAACTAGTGACTAGTCTTGCATCAGTATTCAATATGCAAGACTTTAGAATATAGAATATAATGAATACATTAGAACATATAGAATCAGTAGTATTCTTGCATATCATGAACGCACATATGGTTTTCCCAGGTCCCATAAATGATATTGATTCGGGGGTTCGGGGGCACTACTTTTAGCTACTTGAATCTTATCTCGCACTGTATGATCATTAACTGAAGTTAAGCGTCGCGTTGGGATTTAGTGCTCGGCTCGCGCTTCTATGAACAAAAATCCTGCATGCTTTGATTGGTTTCAAACATTTTGACATTGACGAGCAGGTCACAGGTGTTTGAGTGCTGAAGCTTATCTGATCAGAAGGTCAGTTATCGTTGCGATAGGAGAATCATTGCAGCAACAAGTTATGTATGACCCTGACTGGGAGTTTTTTATTCACGAAATTGGATTAGTAACTAAATGATGCGCATCAGATTAGATTTAGAAGTGGGTATACGCAATGCCGACTGAAAAAGAAGTGGGTATACTCCGTATACCTCCGTATACCTGCGTACCCTGCACTACACCACTGATAGTAGTTAGTTTAGTAAATATCTCTGGCCAAACTATTTCTGGATACTCCATCTGGCACATGTAATGATGACGCAGTGAATGGTGACGATTCTCTCTGACCAATCAGCAGTCAGTATTGTTTTCACGTGACATTTTAGTATCGCCTTAGCTCGCTCAGAACCTCGCCATAGGTGGTACAAAAAAAAGTACCTGAAAGCAGGAACAGGTACAACTTTTACACAGTGGAAAACCAAACAAAGGCGAGCCGAGTCGAGTCGAACTGGTACTGTGTAGTGGAAAAGCGCCAATACTGTCAAAGTACACAGTTACATTGACAACATGCCTAAACATTTTGATGACCTTGTTCGTGAACAATGACTCAATGACTTATCATTTTGATGACACTGACATGATCATTGGCATAGATATTAGTATTGAGAGATGTACTAAGGATTTTTAGTGACTGACTAGCTTTAGAAACATACTGTATCTATTGTGTATTGTACAAATTGTTCTGAGAAATGCACTAATTATTTTGCACGTTAGGGATGATGTGAAAAACGCACTAAAGTGACTGAGAAAAACTGTAAAAGACATGGAAACATCAATGTGAACCTAAACCAAAAACAGAAGTGACGATAACTAGGTTTTGAAGCATGAAATACATGTTTTGGGTGACAGATTTTCTACATGATGCAGACATGCAATAGAGATCTGATGTTCCAGCAAACAGTTACAGTAGCACTTACAGTTTAGAGAATGTTAAGAGTGTTTCGAAAAATGAGCCAATGGAATTTTTTTTTTTTTCATAAATAATTGAAATAAGAAGCCTTGGTGTTTGAAGGGAGATGGACGGATGTATGTTTGTAATTCATCTCATGACCTCATAATCACTCAGCCACAGGTACAAAACAGCCCACAAGATATTTTTTTTCCAGACTCTATCCACGTTTGCTTACGTAAGTGTAAATGGACCACTCATCAGAGACGCGTGATTTCGATTTGTGCCAATTCTAGTCTGTGGGATGTGGTGCAAGTGTCTAGAGCAGTTTACTCAGAAAAAACGTCCTCCTCCTCTTCATCATACCTCCCTCTCCCATCTGCCTCCTGATCTCCTGACAGCTGGCCACGACTGTGTGGAGGTCATGCCATCATGACAGACATGCTGATGTTGTTCTGTATTGTTTTTTTTACACAGCCCATGTGGTGAAACCACCAGCAGCTTTATATTCCTCCCCTACAGCTCTATCTTTCTTGCTCCTTTCCTCTCACCTCATGCTACTGTCAGACAGAGGATTAACACAACTGTTTTCTAGATAAAGTGTGGTGTTCTACAGGGAGGAAAGGCAGTGATGGATGATGGGAGAAAGACACAGAGAGAAATGGGCTGCCCTTTTTTGTGGATGCAGAAGTTCATGCTTTGCTTTAATCACAGCGGTCGGATTCATTTGATCTTCAAAAGAGCACACAGGTCTAACGCAGTAAGAACAGTGTTTAATTTATCTTCACTGCAGGTGGCTCTAACCACCTGGTCATGTTTGGTACAAGATTATGATCAGCTTTTAATATTTAACCTTGAGTTTTTGTAGAGTTTGGCTTTGTTTATTATAAATAGATTATTACTGTATTTGTATAAGTGATCTCTGTTTTATCGTTTAAGTTGAGTAGAATTTTCCTATAAAATGTATTTCTTTATTTATGTTTTATTTGAGTTTTAGTTTTAGCTGATGGCACCAAAATAACACACAGTCCAAAACACTTCACTAGCGACGGACTATAGGGGTCATATAATGTTGTTTTCACACAACTTAATTTGATTCTTTAGGGTCTAAATGAAAATGTTGCAATATACTTTAATTAAAAATTAGTATTGTAAGAAAACACAAATTTTACCTGGTCAAAAACAGCTCTGTTTTCAGCACACCGTTTCAGTGCAAATGCCTTTAAATGATAATGAGCTTTGCTCACTCTGCCCCTCTGTTCTGTGTGTGTGTGGGGGGGGGGGGGTTCCCTTGACAACAGTTGAGGGTATATTTTGGAGAGAGTATGGCAACGGGAGTCTCTGAGGACACATCTGTGCAACCGTATCAGTTTGAACCGAAGTCGGACCTGGAACCAGATGACAGCCGCAGAGAAGTTCTGATTTGAGAAGTTCTGAAAGATTTGATCTTTTGTTTGTACTGGCAGGGTAACGTTAGAGCAATTTAGTGAGAGGTACGAAAGCTATGTGTTTACTGATGTATACGTACTCAGTTTGTAATAACACAATAACCATAACTTATTGTTCATTATAAACGTGAGATAATGAATTATATTGAGAACGTCGTACATGGAAAACATGCCGTAATGTACCCTGAGTGCAAACCTTAGCCGCATTGATCGTGAAGCGTGCAAGCGATTTGCAAAGATTAATATAAAGGTTACAAAAATGTTACACTCACTTCTTCTGGAGGTGCAGCATGCAGGAACACGAATATTCTGGAGGTGCAGCATGCAGGAACACGAATAGTTGGTACTTTTTTTTCAGGAGCAGCTTCTTAGTAGGGCTGTGCAATTAATCGCAATCGCAAAACAATCGCGATTTGAGCACATGCGATTTCTAAACCGCATAAGGCTGCGATTTTATTAATTAATTTCTATTTACGTTCTTGTGCGCAAGATGTTAACCAATCAGAGCCCACTCAGCGCACCGCTCAAATTACAATTGAACTGAGCGGGAGAACAGAATAGGTGAGCGGGAGAACAGAGGCGAGCGGGAGAAAAGAATGTAAAATATGGATGTGGGTCAGAATAAAAATGATTTGGTGCCAAAGAGAAATTCAACATCAATCGTTTGGGAGTATTTTGGATTCAGGAGAGAGGATGTGACACAGAGCAAGGTAATTTGCAAGACTTGTGAAACGATTATTGCGACGAAACGGGGCAATACTACAAACCTGTTTCAACACTTAAAACAGCGCCATAAAAAGCTCCATGATCAATGCATGTCGACAAAGTCCAGCGAAACTGACAAAAGCACACCTCAAAGCCAGCCATCTGAACAAGTATCCATCGTTCAAGCATTTGCAAGCGTCACGCCTTATGAGAAAGGATCAAAACGGCACAAAGAAATCACAGACGCAATCACAAATCATATATGCAAAGACATGGTGCCTGCGTACATCGTCAGTAAAGACGGCTTCCGAAGACTAATTCAAACACTGGACAAAAGATACCAGCTGCCGTCTCGCACTCATTTCACACGGGTTGCGATTCCCGAAATGTATGAGAAATGTAAGGCGGGCGTTGAATACGAGCTTAAAAATGTGAAATTCTACGCCACGACCACAGATATGTGGTCCAGCAGAACGATGGAGCCGTACATGAGTTTAACGGTCCATTATATCGATGACAACTATGAAATAAAAAGTCGATGCTTGCAAACAGCATATTTTCCAGAAAATCACACTGGAGAAAATATCGCTCAAGGTTTAAAAGAAGCTTTAGCATCATGGGGACTTTGTGAAGATCAACAAGTGTCTATCACCACAGACAATGGATCCAATATAGTGAAGGCTGTCACTTTGAACAACTGGACACGACTGCAGTGCTTCGGGCACAGACTACATTTGGCAATTGGTAAGTTAGTGTTTATTGTACATATATTTATACTTTACATATTAAGAATATTAGGACACTTTGTAGGGCGTATTTTTTTATTAAGAAACAAATTGTGCAATGATGTTTAATATAAAAATGTATTATGTACTTTAGTATTTTTTACTTGTCATTAGTTAGGAAAACTTTACAAAAGGTGATATTTGTTAACAGTTGTAATTAAATACATTAGCAAACAATGAACAATTTATTTTTTCAGCATTTATTAATTATTGTTAATGTTATTAGTTCGTGTCAATAGTATGTAACAACTAGTACAGCATTTATTAAGGTTATAGTTCATGTTCATTTTAGCATACTAATACATGAAATACAAATTCACTAGTTATTCATGTTAGTTCATGGTGCATTAACTAACAGTGACAACGTTTGATTTTAATAATGTATAAGTAAATCCTAAAATTAACATGAATTAACATTAATAAATGCTGTATTAATATTGTTCATTGTTAGTTCATTTTAGCTAATGCATTAAAGGTGCAGTGTGTGATATTTAGCAGCATCTATGAGATTCACGAATTGCAAAAAGAAAGCCACTTACGGCCTATCCCTCCCATCTCAAAATCTAAGGAGAAGCTACGGTGGCCGACATAACCAGCAGCACATATCTCCCCACATAGCAAACTCTGTAGTGCTGTGTGTTCGTTGTCAGCTACGGTACAAACATGACGTCACAATATGTCGACCTTCATTTAAGGGGTGGCCCGCGCTTATGTAGATATAAATGACTCATTCTAAGGTAATAAAAACATAACGGTTCATTAAGTAAGGTCTTTATACACCACTGAAAACATAGTTATGGATCTTATATTGCATTTCTGTCAACAGATCCTCAGAAATAATACACATTGCACTTTTAACTAATTGTTGACAAATAGCACCTTATTGTAAAGTATTACCCAATTGTTATATTTAAATGCATGCAATACTTACAATATTACACATTTTCATCATGTTTTGCAATTATTTCTTTTTAGAAAATGCAATCAAGGATGAACGCATTTCCAGAGCCAACGGCTTATGCAAAAAGATTGTGGGACATTTTTCCCACAGTTGGAAAAAAAAGATGATGTTAGCCGAAGCCCAGGAAGAACTTCAGCTTCCCCAACATGCCCTCATTACATCATGCCCGACAAGATGGGGCTCAATGCAACAAATGATAGACAGGGTTTTGGAGCAACAGAAGGCATTGTCTCAGGTCCTTTCAGCTGACCGTAAAACAAGACACCTAGTACCACAGTGGCAAGACACAGATGTTCTAGAATCTGTGAGTAAGGCACTGGGTCCACTTCAGGAGTTCACGGATGCCCTTTCCAGTGAAAACTACATCAGTGTATCCTACGTGAAACCAGTTCTTCATCTGTTGAACACCAAGATACTTGCAGTGAAGGATGAAGATACTGACCTGACAAAGACTATAAAATCAAAAATTCTTAACTACATCAACAAACATTATGAGGATGAAACTACCCAAGAGCTTCTGGACATAGCAACATTTTTGGATCCAAGATTCAAAACCAACTACACTGATGAGGACAAACTTCCAAACATTAAGGCCAGGGTCATGTCTGATATGGATATGAGTTCCCACAAGGTGAGTTAATTTATGTAAACTGGATACAACTGTCATCTCTTAAGATAAACACTCTTTCTATGACTTTTTATTATTTACCTGTAATATTATTTCTGCTCTGTATGTCAAAGGATACATATGAACCTGGGAGTAGCACAAGCAGAGAGAATCCTGACATCGATCTACCTCCACCAGGCAAAAAAGCAAGGAAGTCCTTGGGAAGCTTCTTTAAAACGACATCAGCCATGCCAGCAGCTCTGCAACTTGAAGAAGCCATTGCCTCTGAGCTAAATAGCTACCTGCTTTCTCCATCCATTGACAGTGAGGAAGATCCTTTGAAATGGTGGAGACTCCATCAGATAAATTTCCCAAGAATGAGCAGGGTTGCACAAAAGTATCTTTGTATTCCTGCCACCAGCTCACCTTCAGAGAGAGTGTTTAGTACTGGGGGAAATGTGGTGACATGTCACCGTTCATGCTTAAAACCAGAAATGGTAGACATGCTGGTTTTCCTTGCAAAAAACCTTTAAGAGGTTTTGGCTTTGAATTCTGTTAGTTCGTATTTATTGTTATGACAGAAGTTTAGGTTAGTTAATCTTAATTGTCTGTTGTCTGACACAATTTATGACAATTTTGTTTGTTAAAGGGTTAGTTCACCCAAAAATGAAAATTCTGTCAGTATTTACTCACCCTCATGTTGTTCCAAATCTCTATGTTTTTATTTGTTCTGCTGAACACAAAGGAAGATTTTTAGAAGAATGTTTTAATCAAACAGATTTCATTCCCCATTGACTACCATAGTAAATACATACTATGGAATAGACTATCAAAATACATACTATGATAGTCAATGGGGATTGAAATCTGTTTGATTAAACCATTCTTCCAAATATCTTCCTTTGTGTATAACAGAACAAATAAACACATAGAGGTTTGGAACAACATGAGGGTGAGTAAATACTGACAGAATTTTCATTTTTGGGTGAACTAACCCTTTAAGCAGTTAATACTACTGTACACAGTATGTTTTTTCATTGTGAAATGTGTGCACTGAAAAATATTTTATTTATTTAACTTTATTTTTATGACTGGAATTTAGGTTAGTTAACATTAATTTGTTTTGTTGTCTGTTTTAAATATTACAGTTTTGTTTATCAAACTGTTAATACTAATGTTATTTCATTGTGAAATGTTTTGTTATGCACTTCTTGTGCACTGAATACATTTAGAATGTAGCATGTTTGAAAAAGCAAAAACAATTGCCAAAATCGCAAATAAAATCGCAATTGCAATATTCATAAAAAAATCGCAATGTGATTATTTTGTTCATATTGCACAGCCCTACTTCTTAGCAAAACCAGCTTTATACTGATCCTAGTTTCTAAAGCAGTCTGGTAAAAAATAATTTGTGCAAACATGAGAGCATTGTTGTTGCTCGTGGGGAATATTCCCTTCGAAAACAAAACTCAGCCACTGCGTCTTCAGAGGTTCGGATTTAGGAACATCAAAATGACTGCTGTGTTCATATTACACCCTAGAACTGAACACCACAATCGCTTAGACGCCATTCTGCTCCAGTGTATCAACAATAGTGGACTATGATGATGACAGCTCACTCAAGGCGGGGGTGTCAAGCGGTCGAACGGCTCGATTTGACGCAGGGAAAAACATATAAGGAGTTTAAAACAAAAACACTTGATAGATTTTTATCATTATAAGATTGTTGTGTACAGACACAGCCAACACACATTTCACTACAATCAACTTGAAAAGTGCATTTACCATTACATGACCCCTTTAAAATATAATTTGGAAGAAAAATGTTCATTTCCCACTGTATCTGTATGAACCCTTGAATAGACTTTATAGTATTACATTTTAAAAGAGCCAAATATTCTATAGTACAACTAAATTTGTAATTATTTTATTTTAATTAATTAAAAATAATTATCAACTAAATTGCTATTGAAACTGTGGACAGATCAAATTTCCTCTATATAAAGTGGCTCCAGACTTTTTTAAAAACTCTCTGACAAACCCACCATTGACAAACTTTTCTGCATTTTATGACACAACATTTCCCCGCCATTGACAGAATTTTCAGGCAATCCATGTTTTCAGTTTTATATGGTAGGGGGCGCTATTATCCACATTTTCTGAAAGAGTTCAGAATGCTTCAAGCAAAACACAGACGAAGAAGCAGATACAAGCAATAAATCACACAAAAATATATAAATATAAATTAAAACGGCCTACATTAGGAAGTTATATTCCAGGACAGCGCAGTCTCATCCCAAGACGTCATAGAACTGGCGCTTTTTACCATACGTCAACATCCGCCGTTTTAGGGTACCCTTAAACGTCGGTTAGGTGACGTTATCGAATCCTAACCCTACCCCAGACCTAAACCTACCCCGTCACCTAACTGACGTTAAAGGTAAAGCGTCAGTTGGATGACGCCCCAGGATCGTCATCTAACCGACGTTTAAGGGTCCCCTAAAAAGCCGGATGTTGACGTATGGTCAAAAGCGTCAGTTATATGACGTCTTGGGATGAGACTGTGTTACCCAGGAAAAGGTATAGGACTGTGCAAGCTAAAGAATCTATTTATTTTGATGTATTGTATTCTCAGATATCATACAGTACAAAAATATCAATACAAACACATGATGTATATTGAAAAAGAATTACTTTTCGACTCATGAGTGACCTTCAGAGCTGAACGATAGAACAACAGCTGCAGTCATCTGCAGGCACAGTAAATGAGCTGTAGTTTCCCACCACATGATATCATTAGGCCTCTTTAAATAAATGTGCTTATGCGCTCCAGAATGGCAATGACAATACTCTTTTAAAGTATAATGTAATGTTCACTGTGCTGCTATATGTATCAAATGATGCACAGCATCATGAAGCTGTGCTGTTTTCCACTTAATATAGAGAGGAATATTTGATTGTCAGCAGCAGTGAAGAGATGCACACGGACAGTCATTTTAAACACTTTCCATGTAATCTGATAATCAGCTCTATTACATGCAACTGTAAGGATAAGGGTTACAGTATCTTTTTTTTTTCTCACAGTGGCCCAAATCCACCCAGCAGAACATCAGTCTATATGGGGGAACAACTCTGATATGAAGGTAGAAAGACACGTATGTAAATGAAATTAATGTTGGCAGGCTTGAAGGCCTCAGGCTCCCACGACTGGCACCGAATCTCTTCAAAGCGACTCTACAAAGTTGATGAGAACTTTTTTTTTTTTTTTTCGCCCATACACCAGCACGAGGGAAGCATTAAAAATACATCAGCTAAAACACGAAAGAGATCTGGGCCTCCGTCCTCCCTTTGCGATCACTTCCCCCACCAACCCCACCGAGAACATGAGCAGCGCCTGAAATCTCTTCATCTGCTTCGTTTTCTTGTCGCAATTAGGAACATTTCCTGTCCGATTCCATCCCACAGGTTGACTCACTGCTGATTAAAACATCTGAAAGAAAGGCTTCGCAGTGACATTAAATGAAGTGCAGTATTGCTGAAAACACTATCGGCCTGTTTCCATCACTCTAGTGCAGTAAAATAGAAATCTCGAATGAAAGCAAGTGTGTGAGTTATTTATCTGCCATAGACAGAAAAACAAATAACAGTGTCCATACCCCTCGGGCCAGTTTCATTGGCAGAGACTTTTTATGGGTTATATTAAGAAAATGCATTATAAAAATAGTCTAATTACCATAAAATGGACAAATGTTTACCCTTTTCATTTTATTTTCTAGGGGTGTAACAAGATCACATGCTATCACTTTCATGAAATGTGCCGTTATTTCTTGCTGAGGTGATATCTCGCGAATCGCGATATCAAGATAACAGAAGAGTTTGTGACGAATGACTACTTGATTACCAAAATAATCATTACTGACCAGTTTAGTTAAAATATTTCAAAATAAACCTGCATTGTTTTGCATTTGTGACTTTCAGTCAAATAAACGACTTTTCGTCTAGTCACATATTTTGTCACTGAAGATTTCTTAAAAAAGTGCTAAAAATCATTGCGTCTCTTTCCCATTATCATGTATCGGTCTTAACTTGTGACCTAAGAGCATCAATACACCAGTATTTTCAGTTAGCAATAGCTAAGAATGGATAGAACAAGTAGCTAGAACAAGATATGGGGATAATGTTCTGATTAGGAAAGCTATGTGATATATTGGTTTCTTTTTATTTTTATAATATATCAAATTACTGCTGCAAAAAACCCAGCACTTCTATATTTCATCTTTGCAGCACCAAATGCTGACACCGTGGGATTCATAAATGGATCATATATATATATATATATATATATATATATATATATACACTGTAAAAAATTTGGAGTAGGATTTACTTGAAAAAACCTTGCTAAACGATCTCACTCAGAAAATGCTAGTAAATTTACAAAGATTTGCCAAGTAAAAACCTAAACATATTTATCAGTAGCTTTAATTAGAAATCTTTAAGTTAAATTTGCTTGGAATGTGGAATTAAGTAAACTTTACAAAAAATAAGTAATTTTAACTCGCCTTGTAAAAGGTTGATTAATACCGATTTCCTTTGCCTTTGTATTACACTTCACTAAAACAATTATCTTGAATTGTATTAGTCATTTATAGTATGTTCTTTACTTAGATCATCTAAGTAATTTATATATACATCATGTCAGACTTTAAGCCTTATGTGAATGCAAACACCTTAATACTTGGTAGACAATACACAATGGTGGTAACATTTGATGGATCGTTTTTGTGTTTGAATGTGTCGTTTTAAGCAAAAAAATTACTCGAAATGTCACAAAATGGCAATTTACTAATACTGAAAACAAAAATCAATGATAAAACAGTGTAAATACAGCTGGAAACCAGTGAAAAATGAACCTCATTAATTATTCAAGGTCCAGTGCATGATGGGAACCCCAGTATCAGAAAAGTTGAGTAATTTTTACTTAATTTTATTGAGTTGATATTACACTTTAATTTATACTCGCTTAAAATAAATAAAAGTACTGATATGGAATTTACTTAGTTTTTTTTTAATTCTTGCCTGAACTAACTTTTTCAAGTAAATTACATTGGGTTTTTTCACTAGTATTTACTTAACCAAAAAATATTTTTTTTACAGTGTATATATATGTTGTGTAATATAAATGTTCTCTTTTATTTATTTTGAATTTTGTGTGAATTTAATTAGATTTTTATTAAAATATAGAAAGAATGCAAAGAGAAAATAATGACTGCTTATATTTTATTTTTACATTTCTACATTTCTAACTGAATTTTGTTAGGATCTTATGCCTGGTTCAGATTACACTTTTTTTTTTTTTTTTTTGTCTGTTATGATAGTCACTGAGTCAGATTACGCGATTTTGACTCCTAAAATCTTGTCGTGTCGTGGACAAGACACGTCAGACTACACGTTGCTTCCTGACCAGTCATCGCATGCCGTCTTTAATGGTGCGCGTGATGTCATCGAGAAGGCGAAACTAGTAGCGAGTGACTTCCGGAAACAACCGGAAACAAAAAATGAATGAACGTAAACAAACAATGAATGAAGCGGTGAGTGTTGTATTGGCTGTCATGTTTTCAGAAAAAAAGTTTTAAAAAAGAAATAAAACCCGACAATGGATACGTTCTTG